CCCTCGGGCCCGGGCCCCTGACTCTTCCTGCCGCTGCCTTCGCCCTCATGCTCGGCCACCCGAGTCCCCCACCTTAGACTCTGCCTTGCCCCCGGCCCGTCCGCCCGAATCCCCCTTTTTGAACTCTGCCTTGCCCCCGGGCCGTTCCTACCGAGTTCCCCTTTTTGAACTCTGCCTTGCCCCCGGGCCGTCCGCCCGAATCCCCCTTTTTTAACTCTGCCTTGCCCCCAAGCCGTCCGCCCGAGATCCCTTCCTTTTCCTCTGCTGTGCCCCTGGGCGGTCAGCTCAGTCCCTTCCTCCTGACCCCCTCCACCCACCCTGGTGGCCTAGTGATATGTCCCTCTTCCAGACCCCCTCCACCCACCCTGCTTGAGGTTTTGGACTTTTGTGGTTTTGTTTTGGGACGTCTGGGATCCGTCCCTTGAGGGGGGAGTAATGTCACAATCTGTCTGTTGTGTTTTGTCTAGTCTAGATCTGTCTTTGGTTTTCTGTCTGCGTTGTGTCTTGTCTAGATCTGTCTCTGGTTCCCTGTCGTTAGTTTCCCTGGTGTCTAATTTACCCGATTGTGTTCACCTGGTGTCCCTGTGTTTTCGCCTCCCTTCTGTCTTTCTTGGTCGGTTCGTCTTGTGTAATGACTTGGTCTGCGGTGAGTGTTCTGTTCAGTCTTTGTTAATAGTTTAGCCTTGAAATAAAGGAGTTATTTTTGTCACTTTAATCTGCATTTGGGTCCTGCTTCCTACACACACCGTAACATATGCTGTATTGTTCAGACAAAGATTTGTGCTAACAAGCCTTTTGCCACATGAAGATTGTTTGATTCCCTTATACTGTCTTTTGACAATTGCTTAGAAAAACCTTAAACGCTTTTTTTCCCATTGATTCCTGACTTGCAGATTCTGACCTGTTCTCCTCTGGGATGTGCAGAGCCATCATGATGAGAGGTTCCGTGCACTCCACGCTCCAACCCAGCCTCTCGCTCACTTTGCCCACCACCGGTTTGAGGAAGTGGTTGGGCATACGACTCCAGATAACCGGGGTCAGCATCTGGACGTCCAGCCTGGGGGGGCACTGCGGGACCGGGTTGTTGCGCTCGCTGCGGAACATGGCTGCTGAGATGGGCATGATATTCTGAGGAGGCAAGGGGGGAAATGTATAGAAACAGTAATAATCAAGAGAAAGTAATGAGGTTGAGCTGACCGAAAATAGGTCACATTTGATACACTTTCTGTTATATTTGTATTTGTTTCTCCGTGGTTTGCTTCAGCCCTGTCAGTAAGAGCTGCAGTGACCCAAGTCTTAATTTTGACTACCTTTAGGCCCCCAAGAAGAAACATATTGAAGATTAAGCAGGCCCTCAGTAAACTAAATGAAGTGAAAGTGTTATATTTACAGTATGTCATTGAAAAACAAAGAAAAAACACATAAGAAGGACAATTGTGTTTTCCAGCTAAGCTTTTTTTCACATCCTTGTCAGTTGTCACCATTAACCAGATCATTTGAGTCTTCATTTAAAATGAATAGTAATGGAATGTTAAGTTGATAAATGTGTTGATATTTGTATGTTAATCAGTGCTTTTAACTGTTTAATAATTCTTAGTGTGATTGATACATCTTGCTGCACAGGGACTGCAGATGGAAATTATCTAATTGCCTAATCTGGCATAAATCATGTGGTCTATTTTTGATATTATTGTGCTGTGTGCATGGTCCTTGTTTAAGTCATTACAAGAAAAGATGAGACAAGACAAGCACAAAACATGAAAGAATGCAGATGTGCATGAGATGTAGACTCTACCCTTTACTTTGACATAGCTGTCACTGGCTAATCTCTGGTTGGCACAGACTCCAATCAGCAATGCAGTTCCATACACTTTACTGATACATTTCAACATTAAATAATTACTAAATAAGAGTTCACATTCACATTTTTTCTCTCCCTTTCCCAAATATCACTTCGATGTTTCCATTATTTTTCTCTATCTTTCCAAATACTTTTCCATATGTCTAAAATGAATGCAATAACATTTATTTGATCCCAACAGAGATTCATGAACCCTCGTCTTTTAACAAAGGTCAAGGGTAGGATGACCCGATTTGACCCATTTATTGAAATCACCAACACAAGTTTGATGTTATGATTTCAATGTGAAAGGGATATGAGACAATGTAGGCATTACGAATAAATAAAGCAATATAGCCCAAGAAGTTAAATCAGAGGCAAAAACAATAACTTTAGAAAAGTTAAATTGTTCTGCAGTGTGTAAGCAACAGTGGTTTCTGACCTTGAGTTTTCCCAGCTCCAGCTGCACCAAGTTCTGGTTGGATGGCTGAACGAAGACAGCGGGGAACAGCTTGGTGTTTGGCTCCACCTGAAAGGAAACACCTCTGGTTTCAATGCTCCACACTGTAACATCAATACATTTAAGCAGATACAAATAGCCTTTCCTTACCTGGTAAAAGGTGTTTATCTCCTTTCCATTGGCTGTAAAGGTCATGAGACCGGTTGCCAGATCAACCAAGCAGCCAATAACCATGTCCTCCTGGCTGAAGCGGGTCTGCTGATTGCTGACCAGGTCCCCTCCCCACACCATATAACAGTTACTGTGCTTCATGCTGCAGAGAAAAATCAAAACTCATCTCAACTCTAAAGTTAAGTGTGGTGAGTACATGGAAAGAAAGAGAAAACATTTTTTTAAAGTGGCATATGGGGAAGATATAACTGAAGAAAAGAAAGGGAACGAGTATAGAACTTTGAGGGACACCACAAAATATAAAAGACAATAACAAGTTCCTTATTGCTTCAATACTAATGTTAGTTAGTCCGATAGGAGGTTTAAGTAGTTTTAAAGAGGCATATTTTGCTAATTATTACAAATCATTTTTGTATTTTGTGCCTGTACTGTCTCTATGCTTTAATGTCCAAAAAGGTCTTTATTTTTGTCATACTACCTGTGCTGCAGCACCTTTTTGTCGGAGAGAAAACTCCCTCTTGAGGGGTCACAGGGAAATTAGCCTTTACAGAACATTTACAGGCAAAGAAAACCTATATACAGTAACACCCTCCAGGAAAGGGGAAACCCAAAGAGGATAATGCTACTGAACCTCATTTTAAGTAGAAACCGAAACCAAACAATAATAGTTATTTACAAGTGTAAGAAAAGTGTATTTATTAATGCTGTAAAAATTAGCGCGTTAACGGCGGTAATTATTTTTTTTAATTAATTGCGTTAAAATATTTAACGCATTTAACGCATGCGCAGAATGGCCCGCCCCATACATCCCACCAGTGGCAGCGCCAGGGTATGGCTGGGGTAGGCTACAGCCATACCAAGAAATGGCTTAGCCCCACCTTAGCTCCACCATGAAAAATGATTTTAAAGTAAGCAAAATAAAGTCCGCCAACTTGTGCGCAGTAAATTGCACAGACAGCAGTTAGTAAGATGGATTTCAGTAGCCACTTGTCTGGAAATACCGAAGACCAGAAATGGTTTTGAAAACTTTTGTCACATAGTGATCGTCTTCTCAATAGAACATCTTTGATAATGTCTTCTGGCCAATCAGAATCAAGATAACGGCGTGGTGTTGTTGCAGGAAGTCCCGACGGAGAATACTTTTGCTGTAGTACATCTCTACTATATACATTGATACAACATTACATAGAAAATCAACACGTAATGAAATAAGACCCCACGGTTTGTGGGCTGTCTTTCATTTTGACACACAGAACAATGTTATAATAAACATACATACATACTGTATGTTAAATGGATATATCCGCCTTCTTTAATTATATTTCTTTCCATTCCCACAACATATACATAAAGAAATGGCATATTTTGGACAGTTTGAATGGTGATTAATCATGATTAATTAATTTTTAAGCTGTGATTAATCCGATGACAATTTTTAATCGTTTGACAGCCCTATTATTTATATATATATATATACATTTATTACTGATCTCTGTCCTTTATCCCACTAGCGTGCACATAGAGGATCAGTCCTTAATCACATTACATATTAAACAAAGATTGAATAGTTAATAAATACATGGTCTGTACATGTTCTGGCATTGCTATTGCAAATAGCATATTCAAATATGGGAAAGACTTACCTGTCATGTATGTTGCCTTTGTCATCTCCAACAGTAACAGTGACACTGCGCACTTTGGAAAGGTCAAAGCCTGGATCATACTGGTGGTAGTCCGGAGTGACCCAGCCAATCCACACACCAGAAGGCTCCTGCCCAGCGAAGATCCTCACAGAATAGTAATACTGAAAAAAGGAAACAGGTAAGATAACAGAAAACATAGAAAACAGTAATATTGGATTGTCTAGAAATGCTATAATAGCTTGATCCATGGACATTGGAGGGATACTTTTAACATGTGCCTATCCTAGAATAGTAGCGTATAGAGTTTAGCTTACAGTGGTGGTATTCAGGATGAACTCAGGGTCATCTCTGTCGTCCGGGACCACATCTTCCACCAAACGTGGCACTGTTGGAGGGGCAGGACCAGGAGAGAGAGGAATCATGGCAACCTTCTTGGCCTTGGCGAAGAATCTTTATGTGGAAAAAGAGAGAAAACAAATGCTTTGGACACTTAGATCTGAATGCTGGGGGATGGGTAGGCCTTTTTGACCCATGTTTAGTCCTTAGAACATGGTTAACTAAAGCTCCCAAAAAGTGTGCAGGGGGTTGATGCAAATGTTCTTAGTGGCCAAATGGTGCAGTTAAACCATCCGTGTCAGTCCGTGAAGTAATTTAGAATAATTTTATGTAAATGAACTTGCAAGGATAACCACTTTAATTGCTACTTCTTTTAAATCATTATGGTCAAGTTGTTAAAGTGGACCTATTATGCTATATTGGAAAAATATATTGTAGGGCCATACCTATACAAAACATGTCTGTGAAGTTTTTTGCTTAAAATACCTTAAACAGATCACCCATTGTAGCCATGCCTCATACTGCTCATACCCTTCTTTTGCAGCCCTGTTAGAGAAACTCGGATTTTGGGTCCTTAGCTTGAAAAAAAAAAAGAGGAGGCGGAGCTAATGCCTGATCAGAATTCTAGCGGAGATAAAGTACAATTCGGCTGTGATAAAACACCATCCTGTTCTAAACCACATCAAGGATTATTTCTGAAACAGTATGGAGCTCAAATGCTTTTTTCTCTTGCGGGTTTATCACAAGGTGAGTTCCTTTTTTTATTTCCTTCTTTTTAAACACATGTGCTCTACAGTACAGGTTAGCTCTGAGTGTTAGCGAGGCTTGCTAATGTAAACAAAGACGAAATTACGTCCAAAACACGTCAGGCATTGTTTCTGATAGCAACTTTCTGTGGGTCCGCTGCCGATTTGACGTCAGTTCGGCTGGAATCTTTATCCGCTCGTTGTACCCCCGTTTTTAAAAGATTTGG